TGATATGTTTGTCGATCTTTCTTCATTCTAGTCGATAATAAATCTTTTATTATTTTCTCGTCAAGAACGAATAACAGATTGCCTACATTCGCTTCGTTACAATTGGATACAAAATACTTCGGCTGATAAATATCGCATATGTAGAATACGATAGAATAAAAGCAATCCAATGTTCCATAAAAGTCAATTTAGAGTTCCATAAAGGACGCGTTATACGATTGCGTACGTATGACTTGTTCGAAATTTCATCGAATCGGTTATTTGCATGTCCCCTTTTTCCGGCAACAATACCGGTGGTTCTTTTGTTGAAGCTATTTTTTTCGTTATTTTACATTTTTACGAAGTGTGTCTTTAACAAGGAACTAGAATTATACATCATTGTAAATTTAGAGAACAAATATTGGATTTTACAACGACTTAGCAAATATACACGCTTGAAACATTCCGAATAATTCATCAGGATGGAATGGTTAATTAGATTGTAAGTAAAGATAGAAAAATATGCAGTAGAGTAGAGGAATTAAAAATATTCCTTTTTTCTTTTTTTTCCTTCCTTTTTTAGTCATAATTAATGTATTTTTATGAAAAATTATGAATTATTTTAAGCAATGAATACATTCGTTGTTGGAACGAAGCAAAAAATTTAAGAGACTATTGTAGCAGGTAAAATAAAATAAATTACAAGCAATTTAATTTTACACTAGGTGAAGCGAGACAGAGATAGAACGAGATGGAGCTACTTAGAGACGTTTCTCTCTTTTCCTCCTTTCTATCCATCTCGCTTTATCAAGTATAAAATTAAATTGCTTATAACTTGAAAAATAAGCTTCGACGAATATTTTTGTACCAACTTTTCCATTTATCTCACTCTTTAAATCTCATTCCTTAAATTTTCTACCTATCTTATCTGAATATATATAAATAAAATATGTATTAGTAAAATTGGTGTGAATGCAAAATAATAGGAATATTTATATATTTCGCGATGTTGGTGCTGATGATATAAGCTATAAAATAATGGCATCGAAAAAAATTACATTCCATTTCTTTCTACCTTTCCCTTCTCCATATGAAATCCCTTTTGATCATAAATTTTACATCGATGTGAACATGCATAATCGTAAATAGACGAACCCACTTTGGGAAAACGAAATAACGTAACACTTTTACAAAAATTGATATTCCGAATATGTTTGATAAAATATAAATTTTATTTACCTGTTTTCTCCTTTGGGAAACTTCTTAAAATGAAATTTTTCGCAATTTCGTCGAATTCGTGTTTCAGATGCTTGTGTGTATCGAACGAAAAACTTGTAATCACACTTTATCACTAAGAATCATTTTCATTCTTCTAATTCTACACATGTTTTCGTATCACATTTCTCGTTATTTTTTTGTAAAAACTTCTTATAAAGTTTCAGATGCTCAACCAAACTCACAATGAAATCCCGGAAAAAGAACACGAAGAACGACACGAACGTATGCTTTTAGAAAATGCAACGAATTCGCGAAATAATAACGACAAGTTATTATACGAATTATCAAAATTCGATAAAAATATTGTTCCAGCAGTAGAAAACTCCATAAACTTGTTAATTCACGAGAATAATAACAATAATTATACGAAAGAGTATAAAGAACACGACGAAAATGAAATGCGCGGACTAACTGACAATTACAAGAACGATAATCGAAAGCGTTTCGATATCGAGAGTACAATGATCGATAAATGTGGAAGGATATTGTGTATAGAGTCTCATTCGAATGGGACGATATATGAAGAATATGTGATCAAATTATCGATTAATCGAGAAATAAAAATTAAATATCCTATAGTATTGAATAACAACGAGGCAACGGTTAGGTTAGAATTTATGGATAACGAAATAGATTATGAAAAGGCACCAATAGACAGAATGTTGATATTATTTAAAAATATACATGCAGTCGTAAATGTCAAACAAACTGGTGTACCGTGCAGTACCCAAACAATGAAAATAAAAACTTCCAACAACTTTACGCAAACTTCGTTTACTGGAATAAATTCGTTTTCTCGTTTGAACGTCGGTGTTACGGTGAGTGAAAAAATTTTTAAATTTTTACTTCGAATTGAATATCTAAAAATTAAATTATTTACTAAACAAAGAATAATACATTATATCTTACAAAAAGTTAAAAAAATTTATAATTATAAAAGAGATATTTTTTATACATGCTAATTTTTTTTATAAATACATTCTAAGAGTATATTATGTTCATATCACGATAATAATATATATATATATAATTAATTTCATTATAAATATGATTCGTAATTACGAAAACTACGAAAGTATTAGTCGCGAAAACTAAAATATGAAATCGTTTATACTATATTTCTTATATTATACTTATATTTCGTACAATACAATTGCAAAAACGTACATCGATTTCATCAGAATGATGATTGGTATAAAATATCAACTTGATTCTTTAATTAAATATAGATGCTCAATAGTGAGAAACGTGCAATAGAGAGAAGTCTCTGTAATTTGGAACAAACTGTCAACACTTTAAAACTCAATGCATTAAATCAAGTTGAAACAATGATCACTAAGGATTCACATTTGTTTAGAAACAATGAAAAATTAAATCGTATCAAGATATTGACTCAATAGCATTGTGCATAACAATTTTTATCATTCTTTCAAGTGCAAGAATTTTTAACATTACAAAGATGTTTTTAACGCATAACAATATCAAACTAGATTTGTTATCATAAATGTAATAATACTTGTTCTATTCAATTGTACATAAAAAATACCGCTAGGAATAATTGGTAAAGATGTCCACAAGTTTAGAAAAATGTTAGTCATTATTGTTTCTTAAATCGTTAAAAATGTTGTAAGTTAAATCTTACAGTATATCTATACACGCACAGATGTACATTACATACATACATACATAATAAATGTACATAATTGTATAGATTTAATTGTATTTAAAATCGTAATAATTATCACATTATTTTCATTAAGAATTAAATATTTATTTATTTCTTTCTGTTAGAAATAAAGGTGCATTCTACACTATATTCTCGTGAATAAATTTTTTTTTTTTAAAAAATCTCAAACCATAATTATCCTTCTTTTTTTTTTACATAGAAGTGCAATTTCATTACACATGTGCAAATGGAAAAATTTATTAAAAATGTGAAATGCAATTCGTGGAAAAATACGTATATGCATAAACCTTAAAAGATAGTTCTTCAGTTTTTTCACATATACTTCTCCTTTGATTGAAATATATAGAATTTATATATAATTCATATGCTTTTAATTCAATATTCTATATTCGAGTTTTAATTACAATAGGATTAAAAGACGAATTATTTTTAAGTTTTTCATTAAGTAACAATGAAAATTTGATTTAAACTATTTCTTACAATTATGTTTGCCTTTATGGCAAATAAAATAAATAGTTTTAGCATGCACTATATTTCTTAATTATTCATCGCGCTGAATCTCAAATCTTAGAAAGACAATATCAGAAACAGTTTAGTTCCAATGTTTTTTATGTAAAATACTTTTAAAAACACGATGAGTAAAAAGGTCCAGGAAAAGGCGACATTATGTTAAAATACGATAAAAGATTAGAGGAATGTCATTTTCATACTAATACGTATGTTTCCATAACCCTGCTCTTTCCCTTTCTCTTTCTTTTTCATCATCTTTGATTATTTGCTAATATCCTATCTTTGTTATAAAAAAGATTCAAAATTGATTGCTAGATACTTATTTTTACCTATATTATATTCCTCCCCATCACTTATTTTTCAATATATTTTTCAATATAATAAATCGTTTCTAGAAATAGAAAGAATTTTCTCCGGCAGCTCTGAATTTATCCTTTCTGTTTTTTATGTCTATTTGAAAATGTTCGATTATAATCAATGTGTTGAGCCTGGCACTAGGAGTTTGCATTTCTAGTGATACTTTGAACAACGCGTTGTCCCCACCAAGCTTCAAGGTTAAATGGCTCAAAATCTACAAAAGGAAAAAATATTAATCAGTAAATCGATACATATAACAAAAATTAATATATACAATAAGATTATATTTACCTTTTAGTTGTGGATTTGGTTCTCTTTCTTGATAATATGTAACAGATGCTCCATTTCTATAATTAGAAGAATTACTGTGCGGTTGATTGTGACACATATCTAATTCTCTTGATACTGTATTCCATGCTATAAAATAGAGAAATGAATAAAATTTAATTAGTAAATCAAATTTTTTTATAAGTAAAAACTAACAAAGAAAAATTATATATGATATTTACAATCATAAATGTACTTAATTAAGTCGAAATGTTGAGCTACAGTTTCAGACTGATGTCTTGATGGGATTGAAGATGGTCTTTTTCCATTCATTGTTGTCATTTGTGATCTACCACTATAAAAAAATAATATAATATCATAAATATTATTAAATAAAAAATATATATATATACATATATATATACATACATATATATATATATATATGTTACCAAAGCACGAAGAACTATCACGTTAACAATCACGACTTTTACTGAACTGACGTATTAAGTTCAGTAGGTATATTCTATTTTAAGATTTAACGACTTTATAGCAATTGAAATAAATACAACTACGAAATATAATAATGAATATATTCGTGTTTCGTAGCATTAATAAAAATTAATAAGACAATTATAACCACGTATAAAATAATTTAAATATAAAAATCGGACGGATTTTATTTATTAAAATTTATTGACATGTAGTATAATAATATATAGATTTTAGAATGTTGCTTTATACAATGAAAAGAAATGGACGCCATTTTGATATACTACACAAAATATAACCTTTCATTTTGCATAATAATATTTTATTTAATATCCACCCTATATAATTATATATCCATGAGCAATAAACAATTTTACAAAAAAAAAAAGAAACAAATTACAATATACAAAAGTCAGTACAATAAAATATAGTTGATAGAGAAAAGCCACGTATACATGTATATATTTAGAATTTATTTCTCATATATTTTCCCAAGATTGTTTTCTTTGAAAATCTTTAATAAAACAAATCGTGGATCATTACTGCGAAAAAATTGAAAACAATATATAAAATGTTCAATGAATTAAAAAATATACTAAACATTTAATAATAGAAAGTCTACTTTCGAAGAGAAAATGTCAATGGAAAATGGCGGTTCTCGTATGACATTTACTGTGATTCTGTTCCCGCCTGTTTTTTCCCTTTATCTATTTAATATTATTCATTTTATAAATCATAAAACTACGGGATCATTGGCAATTGATTAAAAATAAATTTAATATTCAAGTAGAAAATAATATCACATGCGATAGAGGTTACGATAGAATGGTAAAATGTAGAGACGCGGGAATAAAGAAAGTTACTTTTACAATAAATACCTCATTTTCTCTGTTCGATGAATGATTTACGCCAGCGCAAATTCGTGCCTAGTATAGATTTATTTTATATAATTTTCTAATCACTATCTACGAACAAAAGTATAAATATTCCGCGGAAAATAAACAGTTGAAAAGCTGTAACGAGAAAGAGCGTTTGTTTCCCGTAACAGCTGCACGAAGCTTTCCCTGAAAACTGTCAACAATGATAGGTCGACTATTTAACTCGAACGGTAATGTAGAGGGAGGAACTAGTGGCGACATTTAATACGAACTAAAGATAAAAGCTGTTGAACGATTTGATCACAAGGTGGGGCGAATTTGCAACGTTTCTTAGACGCCATTTGTAATTATGTTATTTGAATTGTGCAGTGGTATAAAAGTGTGTGAAATTTTGCAAAATATGCAGTTTGAAATATCAATATTGAAATGAAAAATGTGATTTCAAGAAATTATATGTCATCTTTCAATGTAATCTTTTCGGTAAATGTTTTTCAATTACATTTTTAATCCTAATTTATCTAATCTAATAAAGATATGATATGATCTCATCTTATATCTCAATAATTATAATATGATCAGATAAGGTACAAATAATAAATTATATATCGTTATTCATTTATTAATCAAAATTTCAAACAAAATAATATAAAAATATTATACGCAATTAAATATTTCATTACATATATCAAAATTTTATTGAACAAAATAACCTATAATTAAATATATTGTTTAACAAGATAAGTATACGTATACATACGATATTTCGATCAATTAGAAGATCAAATCAATCAAAAAATAAAAAAATATAGTATATTATCTTTCTGCATAAAACTTTGGAAAAAATTACATATTTTTAAAAAAATATGCTCTTATATTTCATTTATTACAATAATGTATTCGATGATAGATATTTGCGATAAGAGTCGTCATTTTTCAAGCTGACAATTTTGCCATAAAAATGTCGACTTTACGATAAGTTTTGCACTTAAAATAATATTTCTCGACTTTAAAATTTCGAAAAATTTGCAACGTAACTTAATATAAAATATACGTAATATAAGTTGCTATGCGTATAATTATTTGTCTAAAAATAGTGTACAATATTGAAAAATAATTTCGTTACAAAAAGAAGGTCAAAAATGAAATATTATTTTAATAAGTTAATATTTTTAATGATGTAGCAATTATAATAAAATACATCGATCGTACAAATGACTAGTATAGTATAGTTTAGGGCATTGAAATTTTTAAAGAAACCGTTAACATGGATAAATAGTACAATACATATTTTTCAAAATTTTTTGGATGGTTTCGGTAATTACTGTACTATAAATCATCGATACCATAAATCATTTTCTTTCGAATAATTGTAAAATCTGATGGTCAGGTAGACTTGTGAAGGAAATTTTGCTGCATTGCCAAATTTCCAAAAGTCGAAAAAGAACTTAATGCTGATTGGTTAGTAATTTTTTCTCTAACCAATTAGCATATTGATGAAAGCACCAATGGAAAAGTGTTTACACACATCTTTAGACACATTTATTCTACGAAATAGATTTCAAGAATAGAACTCGTAAATAAAATAACGCCGAATTGAATATACCGTGTTTTCTATCTATATATATATCTGATTAAAAATTATTGAAAAATAATTTCTAAAATTATAAATAAATGCTAAAAATTATAAATATAAAAATATTGAAATGTTTAATTTAATTTTAATTATAGAATGAAATATATATTATAAAAGAGAATTAATAATTTCATTGTCATGTTTAATTTTTTATTATCAAATCTTTTAATCGAAATCATATTTTTTTCTATGTCCTTGTTGTGAAAGGAAAGATCAGTGATTCGATCAAATATATTCTGATAAATCTGGTATAAAATTAAAGGTGTTGATTGCAATCTGTTGATTAGTTCTCTTTTAACTGATCTTAATAAATTTGAAATATATATCAAAAGCATTATTGTTTATCAACATTTTGCTTTATGTATAACAGATTCTAGTTCTCGAATTATTATTATATGTAGCAAGAATGAACTACGTTAAAATTTTTTGTAGATTTTATTAAATCCTGAGAATCAGTATATACGTGCTAATTAAGTTTTTAATAAAGAGACTATTGATGAAAAACTTTTTAAAAATAGTTTACAAAAAAATTTACCAAGTTGATCAAGTATTAATGGGAAAACTTTTTCAAATTATCCCATATTGCCTGAGTAAATATATTTTTAACAGAGTTATTCAATTAAAAGTAGGATAAAAAAGAAAAGAATATCTCGGATAAATCTGGGAATTAAAAAAAAAAAAAAAATGATCATTTCTCCACGGTGAGAATTTATTCGTACGAATATCTTTCGAAACGCGAAAGACTCCTAAAACATTTTGGGTATTTATCTGAAACACTCGTGACGTTATTATCTTGGACATTATTCCGTAAAATATACGATAGCGTGTCGGGTTATATTTGACAATACTATAACGTGGCCTCGATATATCCACGTATCGCTGGAACCATCGCCACGATTTCATTTGGCTGCGTTTCACTTTCAGTTAACCAAAGGCCTACTGGTCTATTTCTGCAATCCTGACGTTCAATACCATTTCAAAGGATCCTTGTCACCCTTTGTGATTGCATCGTAGGAGATAGCAAAACTATACGTTACTCATCTTAAATGACAACGATCAGACGTATCGATTTGATTAATATTAGGGATAGCGTTAACGTCGATATCAAATTATTCTTCAAGGTTCACGGTGAACCGATGATAAAAAAGATACATATTTAAGTGAATAAACTGTGAAAAAACGTGAATTATGCACAATTTCAATTTTCGAAGGATCTTAAATATTTTATATGGAACTTTGATTAAATATTTCGTGCTTGTGAAATTAAAATTACGATGGAGAAAAATGAAAACCGATTATGACATTTTAAACAATTTATAATATTATTCGGTATGTTTGTTAATTTTTATATATCCTAATATATTATTATAATTCTCATCGTTTTTTCTTTTTTAATCTTTTCCGAGATTTGCTTTACATTCCAATATATTTAAGCATCTCAATATTTATGAACGTGGATGTATAATCCAAATCCCTTTATTTATACATTCTTGTTCATTGTAAATCACGAATAATCCGATCGTATATTTAACCTCGAACAAAATGAAAGTTTTTATTAGACGCTTGTCAGAATTAAATATCAAATTTCTATTATCTTTTGTATATTCAAACCTTGTTGTACCAATGGTAACTCGATGTTCTTTTGACGAATCGTAGTGGAGAAAAGGGACATGATAATAACAACGCGGAATACGAATAGCAAGAAAATCCCTATCAACGACGAATCCCCATAATCCTCGAAGACAATGAGTCTAACGGACTCAAGTGGCATCGGCAATGTTATTATTGTGCACTACTACACAACAGGCAGTTGACCTAAATGGGCCATAACTGACGCGCGCGCGCGCATGTGTGTCAATACACAAGCTCATTTCCGGCCATTTGAAAATCGATTGCATCAATAAAGTGGCAAAATATCGTCGAATTCACGATGAAATTAAACGAAATCTCTCGATAATCATTAATAACATACGCGGTCTTGATAAAATTTTTATTATTACTGATTATTATCCACAGAGATAATAATTTGATAATTTTGTATACAAAATTATTGTTACGTGGAAATATTTTTAATACGATCTGTATTGTTTGATAATGATCTAATAAAACTTTTTTAACGTAATAACAGATTACGTTTAATAAATTTTACCAACGGAAGATGAACATTCGTCGATAAAAAAGCGTTCTGTTTTCATTCTTGTTCGATATTTCACGGGTTTTATGAAATATCGCACACGAAATGAATCTTTTTAAATCGGATAACTGTATAATATGGATGGATAACTTTTAATCGTATGATTGTTCCGTATGATACCGAAACTTTTACTGTTATGACAAACTGATAACAGGATAATTTAATAGTGTCTCATTAGAAAGGAAAGCGCATCAGAAATTCTATTAGTCGAACAGAAGTTCATCCGTTGAGGATAACTTCTGGTGAAACGGGACGGTCGAAACATAGGTTTGGCATTGTGTTGGGTTAAATTCAGTGTAATTCAGGGTAAAGAAATTATGTAAGCGGATAAATTTTCAGTAAATTTTCTTCTCTTTTATTCTTCACATTTATCCAAGAATTATTGTAGAATTAATTACATTATTCTGTAGGAATATTCTTGAGAGAAATTGCTCTTGGAAATTCAATTACTGTTACTTTTAATAAGCAACCAATCTATCTAACGTGAAAATTTTATTAATAAAATTCTCATAATCGTTACATGCATTTGTTTTACGATGAATAAGCAATATAATTAAGATGATTATAACAGATTTATGAAGTAGTTAATGCACTTCATAAATTATGGATTTAACGATGTTCTCCGTGTAATGTAATTTTGTAAAAAAAGATTATCGTGTATAATTGATTTTTAAACCACGATCTCCACTTGATTTATCACATACGCGCCAATTTATTAACGCGGATTTGAGCATGCGAGAGATGATAAACATAAATCCGTGAAAAATGTTGAAAATAATTGATCAATTCAACGAGATTGTTGTTGAACAAATAAACGCGTGTAAAGCAATAATTGTGAACACCATGATATCAAAGTAACAATATAATGAGATCAAATAACGTTATGATATAATAAACAGTAATAATAGCGTATAATATATAATGGTATGGCACATAATTTCGTCTGTATAGGCTGTTGTTACGATAAATACGTAGTCTGATTGATGGCGGTTTGCGGTTCCTTTTGCCCAAAATAATTTAGCCTGGATTATCTTCGCTCTATCCATTCGACCACGTATGGCCAGAATCGACACGGCAACAACACGGCTTTGAACGTTCGTACAGCTTTATTGACTCTCTTCGAGTAACACTCGAATTCGCTTTAAAACTCTGATTAAAATAGAACCGTTTTCTCGTTTTGGTAAAATAGGGAACAAGAGCGATTTTGAATTTATCAATTTTAAAAATTTAAAACGATTCCAAGGCGTCATTTAAAAATATAAAAATTATATAGCATAAAGATGGTTCAATTTGTTCGTTGTTTTGCAATTAACGTAATTTTTCGTTATTTTTGGCCCTTGTTAAAAATAATAATAAATAAAACAAGATATTATGTCACATAAATAGAGAATTTCTGTTTCTCTTTTTTATTAAATTTTTGTTTCCGCAGATATTACGACGGTTCGA